GTATGTCGGGGTCGCCACACGTGCGGCCAAAATGATATACACGGAGATCGCACAGCGATATCAATAATATTCTGTTAATTGTATTGGAAATGTGCGCAAAGTTAATGACAATTGCGTGCACTTTGTTTGTGTGGTTACGGCTAAAGTCAGTCTCGCACTGGTATTCAAGGGTTAAGTAGTTGTGACTTTGGTAAGTGCTATGGTATGCCATACTGTCCATTGTGTCCATATTGAGGGCGCAGTCTATGCCCCGTATATTATTGAGAAACACGTTGAAAGTAATTAACCGTCTCAGCCACATATCGCGCAAGTTCTGGCCGTACAGTGTAAGCCGTATATACTGTACGTCTACGGCGTGATTGAGGGCCAGAATCCACTGTTGCTGAGCCCCTGTGCGCCAGTTTAGACAGTCGACCGGTCGTCGGCCTATCGGTGCCATCGGTGGTGTGAACGCACCGACAGATTTGTATCGTTTTGCAACCTTCGCGACCATAATCGTGGTCTTTATGTCGTGTTCTAGTATTTCCATTAATGTCAGTTCAGTTTGGTTCCCGTAATTGATAGCTAATATTGAACAATATTTAAATTCAACATGGTTAATTATTGATAGTGTTTATTATTATATACTATTTATTAAATACTATTAATACTAAATAGTAAATTAAATACTATTTATTTAGTAAATCATAAGATTATAAAAAAGTTTAAATTCTACAAATCCGATGACATTAATGGGTATAAACATTATTGAGGAAATGGTTAAAACTCAATACTGTAGTAAATTCTATGGGTATTAAATAAGAGGGTTTAATATGCAGTAAAGTCACTGTATGTAACAATAATTTACTTGTGATTACGGTATGTCTGAGAGATGACTGTCAGTCGGCTAACGGTTCCCCTCATATGGCGAATACGTGTCGTGTATTTCCTTATTTCTGTTTTATTTAACTGTATTTTAATATAAAAATTAATGGCAGACATAATCCCAAAGAAAGATACTTCACTTGTTTCCCAAATCACTGTCTAATCTCTAGTCGACTAAAAATCTCATAAAAAAGCAAAAAAGTTTTATTCAACGTTTGAATTTCAATGTCAATAAACTCATAAAAAGTGTATCACATCTTCAGCTGAGAGGGAGATATCACGAGAGAAACCGAGAGAGAGAGAGAGAGCAGGAATGACGACAAAAATAGATAAACGGATAAACACTTGTTGTGATCGTGTAATCCGTTTTCCAAGAGGTTTAAGAGAGAGAGAGAGAAGAAAATTATATGACTTTAAATATAACTTGACATAAAATTTATGCTATTTTTTATTAAGAAAAACAATTTCCTATTATATCTGTAAGAGTTGTATAACTCTTTCATTTATCGCCACAAAATAAAACCTGATTTTCATCAATAATTTATGCGTTTATTATTGAGAAAAAGGCATTTTTCCGTTAAATGATTGCTTTCAGAGATTTAATTTTGAGTTTAATTTTTTTTGAAAAAATTTCAACACTTTTTTGATGTGTCCGTTGTTTTAAACGTAAATATAATAATTAGTTTTTGACAGACATTTTTTGAATGGCTTTAATTAAAACTATAAATTTTTGTATTGAATTATAAAAGCAATTATTTTAATAGCAGTTATGATTAGTAAGTAATAGCGTTTGGGTAAGTTTGCTGGTGTTTGGCGCCCATCGCACAGGTATGTTGTTTTGGTTTATTATCCAATAAATTATATTAAAGGCTTAATTAAATTGAAGTTTGAAATTAAATTTCATATTTCTCTAGATTTATGACAACTATTACTGTTATTATTATATTAAAAGCAGTTTAATTTTCCCATTTCTATTCATATCCATTAGTTATAATTCAGATTCTTTCAATAAATTTAATTTAATTCAATAAAATAATGAGGATCTATAAGCATAATCTTGTAAACAATTATTTAACATTAAATCTAATGTTAATTACAAATAATGATAATGTAATAATTATAACAATTATTGTTATCAAGCTATGTCTATTAGACCATTTAACAATCAAACATTGCAACAAATAGTACATTTTATATTTAAAATAAAACAACATATTTACCACATCGGGGAACACTTCCCATCCATTTACCGCTCCGACACTCGCGGACCCGATTGCCGACCAACAGGTTGTTAGGATCGGAGCACTGGTACCAGACACGGGTCAAGTGCTCGTTATGTTTCAAAGTGCTGTCATTATATCTGGCCAATTGGTTTGCTTGAGAAATACTCATGTTTTGGGGACTCTGTCTAACCGTAAGCTCAATACCGGGCGGTCGGGCTATTGTACCGCAAGAGCACTCCTGGTCTAATTCATCGCATCCATTTTGATCATGATCTGTTTTGTTGCCTGATATAATTATCATTTGCACTGATAAACATATTAGACATAGTTTGTTAAATAAAAATTTTGACAACATTTTGTAGTTATTATTTAATTTACAGAAAATATATAATAATTTTGTTCACATAATTGCATATAATTGGAGAAATGTATGCAAACCTCTTGGAAAACGGATTACACGATCACAACAAGTGTTTATCCGTTTATCTATTTTTGTCGTCATTCCTGCTCTCTCTCTCTCTCTCTCTCTCTCTCTCACTCTCTCTCTCTCCCCCCGCATGACATTCATATCTTCACATGAATTAGATTTTGATTTTAAATGACAAAAAATTTTCCGTTCATACGATTAGCACCAGAGGTAACGGGCATTCATTACAGTAAATGCCAGAGAAATACTATACAGGTTTGAAAATAGCATGAAATCCTAACTAATAAGAAATATTTTGTACTTATTTTTCCGCATTTTTATATAATAATTTTAAATCTTAATATCTTAATTAGTAAATTAATATATAAATGTTATTTTAATAGAAATATCGAGTAACGTTGATTATTTTTTAAAACAATAAAAGTAACTACAATTACTTAAATACTAATTAACAATTTATTATGATTATCCAATAAATACAGTTATAATAGACTTATAATAGTTAATGAAAATGTGTTTACAAATCACAATAATTGTTATTACAAATTATTATCGCTATTACTATCAACACTGAAGTTAATGAGTTTATTATTATTATTATTAAAATGATTACTATTTCTAGTATTATTGAGACTATAGATAGAGTTTGCTTTTTGGCACTCATTGTAATCGGATTTCATAGACATGTTGTCCTCACAATAGATAGGGTTTGGCTGTAGTCTAAGGTTATTATGCAAATCATTGCTCGTTATTGAGGTGTAATAGTAGTCGGACTCGGGTTTCTCGTAGGCGGAGTCGGCATCTAAGGTGGTCTCAATGTACTCATTGTCGTAGCCCTCATAGCAGTAGTCGTTTTCCAGTCGGGCCTTAATCTCGCGGAGTTTGCGCTCGTGTCGGGCCTTACGGGCCCTAAACATGTGATACACGAGACATACAATACAGAGCACACATACCAAGAGTACGGCCGACAGCACACGGATCACCCGTTTGGACACCGATGTCATGGACGAGTCGGGTGTGCAATGGGGCCGATCGGTGGCCGTTAGGCCCAGCCATTCGCCGTTACGGCACAGCACTCGGGACACGCCATTCAAATGGTACCCCTGTTTACCACTGCCCGGCTTGAGAGGGTTGGCGTTAGTGCAGGTGAACTGAGCCATTTTGCCGTTGGGTACATTCACTTCGCCCCCAGCGCCGTAAATCACCGACTCGTATTTCACCTCGATCGATTTATCCAACAGGTCAAATGACATGGCCTTACAGGTGGCCAGCGGTAGGCACGTGGGAAACTCGTTTAGCCATTTGCCGTTTGGTCCGCACCTGATGTGAGTGTTGCCTAAGATATTCAATGTGTGTACAATGTATTAAAAATGTATACAATAATAGCTTAGGATTTAATTGTAAATTACTGTAACTAAAGTACATTATACTGTAATACCGATATAAAATAATTAGTTTTATAATATTTTTATAATGCAAAAAGAGATGTAATATTTCTATGTGTTTAACGCCCTATCACTGCCCCAAACGGAATTGAGAGAGAGAGAGAGAGAGTCTAAACGGCTATATGATAGATCAATTCGTGATTTATAATTATAGACTTATACTGTATATGAGTTTATATTTAAATTTCTTAATCAGGTTTTCAATACAATTTAAGTGAAGAAAATATCTAAAATAAAACTCGTTATAAATCTCAGCAATTTTCTTGTGTTTTAAAGTCATTCATATATGATATACGCAAATGGATTCACTATTTTTGAAATGCAAACAAAAAATTTACAACTAATTAATTTTATAATAAAGATTCAATTTTCACTCAATTTATAAATTTAATTATATAGTATTTTTTTAAAATACCAGAGTGCATTTAAAATATTTAGTTTTGTTTTTATACATCAGAATTAAAATTTTGTTTTGTTGATTATATTATATTTTTTAATTGAACTAATTTTTCAATATTCTATATTAAAAATTAATATAATATTAATCATATTAATTTTAATTAAATATTTAGTTTTTACTTTTATTATTTTTACCAATATGAAATACCATTTAAAACATTTTCAATGTTAAGTCTAGCTACAACAAAGCGTGAACATCCCTGTTATGGCTTTGAGGCAAATGCTATGAGTATATCTTATATCTTTTAGGAATTATCATAATAGGAAATACTCATTGATTTATGATTTATCATAATGTTTTGTTTTTTAGCAAATTGCATTTAATCAGTCATTTTAAATTGTGATTTCGCTTTCAAACCAATTATCATTAAAAATGAGCTATGGTTTCACTTATTTTGAGTCTAAAGTGGTTTTACTTATGAAAAAATAATTAATTAGTGTTTCACTAATTAACTGTTAATGAAAAATGTACCAGTAACATTAACCATATTTTACGAAGCCATAAATTAATAACTATTACTTTTACAATTAATTAAATTTCATATTCAATAAGAAAGCCAAAGAAACGCTAAAACATTTATATAACTAATAAGTGAACAAAAATATAACATTAATTTAAATTGAATTAAATATTTTCATTAATCATTGCAAACGAGAAAACCACTAATTGAAAGGGTTGTGCAAAAATAGCAGCAATTAATTGAATAATAATTAAAATGAGATGTACTATGTATTAAGTATTACCATCTAAAGTGTGGTCGTTATCAATGCATACGTATTCCCACTGTTCAACGATCTCTTTGGGCACGATCTCAGACCGACGTACCTGTGCTAACACAGGTATGTCGGGGTCGCCACACGTGCGGCCAAAATGATATACACGGA